TGGAAGAAAGGGGCCTCGTTCCTTGTTTAGGGCTCCTAAGGTCAAGGCCCCGACGGTATTGTGCTCCCTCTCTCCATCCGCCCTCTTCGCCCCGTGTCCTCAACGTCTTCCTCATGGTCGGGAAAGCTTGCGTAGCGTGTCGCGCCGCCGGCTCTGGCCCACTACCCTCAGGTACGACACGCCTGCCACGTCCCAGTCCGCAAGCCATAGCGTGTCGCGTGGGCCGCCGCCGCGACACGCTTAGCAAAAGTTCCTGGCCGCTACCTCTTCTTCCGTAATTATCCATTTGGGCTTCGGTGTTGAGCAGGTTGGTGCTTCCAGCGCTTCCGTCTTCAATTTAGACATCGAAGAGTCCAGACCATGGGCGGCTCCATGGTACCCAAGTTGATTGCTGAGTTCGTGGGAACGTTCTTGTTGATATTTACGGTCGGCTGCAACGTGCTCAGCCAGAATGCCGTGTTCGGTGGTGTGTCAATCGCGTGCGTTCTCATGGTATGCATCTACGCTTTTGGGTGCGTCTCTGGGGCCAACTTCAACCCCGCTGTGTCCTTCGGCCTTGCGCTGCTGACCACCATGGGACACAGACCAGAGCTGCGTGACAACGGCGGCCAGTTTACCTGGTCCACCTTCGCAGTGTACTCCGTCGTGCAGATCGTCGCTGGGATCATGGCTGGCTGCGCGTACACATTTCTCTTCTGGGATTCGTTCAACCTTGCGCCCGCCAAGGAGTTCGGCTGGGTCAACGCGGGGCTCGCCGAGCTCCTCTACACGTTCGTGCTGGTGTTTGTTGTCCTCAACGTTGCCGCGAGCAGGGCTGCTGACGAGAGCAAAAATGAGTATTATGGGCTGGCCATCGGCTTCGTAGTGATCGCAGGCGCCTATGGCGCTGGCGCGGTCTCTGGAGGCTGCTTCAACCCTGCGGTGGCCATCGGGATCGACCTGGCCAGCTGGGACCTTGGCATCTTCTGGTCCATGATATACGTCGTTTTCGAGATTGTCGGCGCAGTCCTGGCATGCGTCCTCTTCAAGGTCTGCCGACCAGACGAGTTCCGCAGCCCAGAAGACCCCTCGATCCCTTCCGAGCCGAAGATTGGGACAAAATTGGCGAGCGAATTCATCGGCACATACATCTTGGTGCTCACCGTCGGCCTCAACGTGCTCGCCGCGTCCCAGGCCGCGGCCTTCTCCATTGCGGCCTCCCTCATGTGCGCGATCTACGCCCTGGGCAACGTGTCGGGTGCTCACTTCAACCCCGCGGTCACCTGCGCCGTCATGGCAGCGAGCGCCACCTCGGCAATACCGGCGGACAAGAAGTTCAACCCTTCACATGTGCCAATGTACATTGCGGCACAGGTCGCTGGAGGCGTCACTGCAGCCGGCACATACGTGCTCATCTACGTCGGCCGCAGCTTCCCGCTCGGGGGGGGAGCAGAGTTGAGCGGCCACAAGTGGGGCCAGATCTTCGTCGCGGAGCTTGTCTTCACCTTCACCCTGTGCCTGGTGGTGCTCTGCGTGGCCGCTTCCGAGATCAACAGCGTGAAGAACTACTTCGGTCTGGCAATCGGCTCCTGCGTGACCGTTGGCGGCTTCGCCATCGGAGGCATCTCTGGCGGCTCCCTGAACCCCGCCGTCTCGTTCGGCATCGCGACTGGGGCTGGCCTGACGTCGTTCAGCCTCTTCCAGCAGCTCTTCAGGGCGCTGATGTATCTAGCGGCCTGGCGGCCTTCGGCCCATCCCAACAGCGGGGGTGGACCTAAACGGTGTGTTGGTGATTTCGTGGGCCGTTTTCGTTTCGATGCCGTTTTGCAGCAGAGGCGAATTTAATACAAAACGAGGGAAAACGAAAACAAAACGAAAATGAAGAACACTGCTTAGGTCAACACCGATCTTAGGTCGTGGACCAGAAGCCCATTGCTCCTGGGGAGTATCCTGGGGAGCCTCCGGGAGGCCTCTTGCGGGCCTCCTGGGGCCCGCTTGAGGAGCCTTGAGTCCTGGGGGGACTGCTGAGAGCACCCCCTCCGCGCACCTGGACGCCGTGATCTTTTACCACGTGGACCCCTGGAGGTCTCGACCCATTCCCCGGGACCAGCGTCGCACCCCGGGGCGTCTCTGGACGGGCCCCGGGGCCCGACAGGTGCCCTGGGAGGCCGAAGACGACCAAGAGCGCTCCGCCGCCTTTTTGTTCCCCAGGGCGCGACAGGGCCGTGACACGAAGCCGAGGACATTGCAGCAGGTGCCCACGGCACGGGTGGCGGACTCTGTCATCGAGATCATCGGAGGCATTCTCGCCGCGGCCGTCTTCGTGAGCACGCACGGGGCGATGATCGACTCGGCGTCGGTGGACGCGGAGAAGCGCTCGGCGTGAGAGCGCCGCGCCGAGCGGGCATGCCCAACCCCCAGGTGCCTCGGGTCGGGTTGCTCGATCTCTGGCAAGGTATCTTAGAGCAGTCAAGACAAGACAGGGAGACGAAAAAGCAGAGGGAAGAGGAGGAGGAGGAGAAGGAGGAAGTTGGGAAACGCACTAGTTAGGCACGGGGAGGAGGAGGAGTGGACGGAGGAGGAGGGGGAGGAGGAGGAGGAGGAGGAGGAGGAGGAGGAGGAGAGGAGGAGGAGGAGGAGGAGGAGGAGGAGGAGGAGGAGGAGGAGGGAGGAGGAGGAGGAGGAGGAGGAGGAGGAGGAGGAGGGGAGGAGGGGGAGGAGGAGGAGGAGGAGGAGGAGGAGGAGGAGCGGAAGATGGAGGAGGGTAAGGGGTAGAAGGAGGAAGAGAAAGAGGAGCATGAGGAGCAGCAGGAGCAGCAGCAGGAGATGCAGAAGCAGAAGGCAGAGGAGGAGGGGAAGCAGGAGTGGGAATTCTACTCCTAGTCATTATTCCCATGTTGCTCATCCGTTTCCTCCTCCTCCTCCTCCTCCTCCTCCTCCTGGAGGAGTAGCAAGCTGGGGAGGAGGGAGGAGGAGGAGGAGGAGGAGGAGAAGGACCAGTGCAAGACAAAGATTCATCAACGATGTTGGAATAAACCCTCCCTCCAAGCTCCCTCCTCTCAGGCCTCTACAACGGTTCGTTTCCACTGATGGAAGTGTTCCGTTGGAAGACAACCGTTTGAAGATCTTGACGAGTGCCAAAGCACCAGTCCTGGGACTTCAACACCGCGAATCAAACTGACTGCGTTGCCTCATGACGATCCTGAACCGTGCCAGAACACCATTCCTGGTACTTCAACACCGCGAATCAGACAACTGTTGCGCCATGACATTCCTGAATCGTTCCAAATCGCGGTGCTAACGCGAGAGCCACATTTTGAAAACGGCCTGCCTTCAATCCGCGAAACGCACGCAAAGCTTTAAAATGAGCGCGCGCGGGGCATAGGCGAGAGCCACGCTTTGAAAACCAACCGCCTTCCCTTCTTGAAGTAGTTGCCACTTTCTAAACTTCAGGATCACAAAGGGGCAGGAAGTCTCAAGCGAAACGCCCGGGCCGCCCTTCCGATTGGCCGCGGGGTGCGACAGGGAGGCGCGATCCATACGGAAAAAGGATAGAAGAGCAGGAAAAGGAAGGGGAGGAGGAGAACTACGACGATGGCGGCGACGACGGTTTCATCGCCCAGCGGTCTGGCGTCCTGCCGTCGCTCGGCAGCCGCGCTTGGAGGGGCACGCAGGGAGGAGGAGGAGGAGGAGGAAGAAGAGGGGAACGGAAATGAGAATGAGGAGGAGGAGGACCACTGCAAACCCAAGACCCATCACCGATGTTGGAATAAATCCTCCCTCCAAGCTCTCTCTTCATAGGCCCCTAGAAGGATTCAGCTCCACTGGGGGAAGTGCCCCGTTGGGAGACAACCGTCTGAAGACCCTGAAGCGTGCCAAAACACCACTCTCGGGACTCCCACGCCACGAATCACCGTGATTGCTGCGTCTTGACGATCCTGCATCGTGCCAGAACACCAATTCTTGGCACTTCAACACCGCGAATCAACGCAACTGCTACGCCCTGACAATCCTGAATCGTTCCAAGAAATTGTTTCCGGTATGTTGACCAAGGGAGTCCGTGAAAGTCTTGCGAATGTTTCGAACGAATGTGCGTGGCGCTAATGCGAGAGCCACATGTTGAAAAGGAACAGCCCTCAATCCGCAAAATTCTCACAATTGAAGCGAATGTGCGCGGTGCTACGACGAGAACCACATTTTGGAAGCGGCCCGCCCTCCATCCGTGAAGCCCATGCAGTCTTTAACAACGAATGCGCGCGGCACTAAGGCGAAATCCACATTTTGAAAAGGAACAGCCCTCAATCCGCGAAATTCTTATATTTTGTTGAAACGAATGTGCGCGGTTCTACGACGAGAACCGCATTTTCGAAGCGGCCCTCCCTCCATCCGTGAAGCCCATGCAGTTTTTGAAGACAAATGCGCGCGTCACTAAGGCGAGAGCCACATTTTGAAGACGACCCGCCCTCAATCCGTCAAGCTCTTGCAGTTTTTTCAACAAATGTGCGCAGCGCTGGTGCGAGAGCCACATTTTGAAGCGGCCCGCCCTCAATCCGTAAACGTTTGCACACTTTCAAGTCGAATGTGCGCGGCGCTGGGGCGAGAGCCACATTGTGGAAGCGGCCCGCCCTCCATCTGTGAAGCTGTTGTTGTTTGTGTTCAGCTTCAGGCTCGTAAATGGTGAGGAAGGATCAGGCAAAATGCCCGCCCCGCCCTTTCCACTGGCCTCGGGGTGCGACAGGGAGGATTTGCTTATGAGAAAAAGGAATTGGGGAGGATCGAGGAGCACGGAAGGGGGAGAAGGGACGACGACGACCACGACCACGACGACGACCACGACGACCTCGGCGACGGCGGCGACGACGGCCACGACGACGACGACAACGACGACGACGACGACGACGACGACGACGACGACGACGACGACGACGACGACGGAGCGGCCAGAGCTGCCGACGCTGCCGAAGCTGCCGAGCAGGAGCCGAGAGAGAGACCGAGAGGGATAGAGAGAGAGCCGAGCGCAGGTCGCGGTGATCGACGCCTACCAGGGGGCTCAGCGTTCCATCCTGAGGATCAAGGAGCCCGTCGTCGTCGTCGGGGATCGTGGTTCGACATGTTGCTTCGCGATTTTCAGCCTCTGGGGGCACGTTTGGGGGCCCAGGACCATCAGAAGTTTATCCAGGACGAAAAACAGCCAGGTTGGATATTGGAAGAGGTCAAGGGACAGATTTACAGCAGATTTTGATCGACGCCGTCGTGGATGATAGAAGTTCGAGGGTCGAGGGTTTTGAACGCTTTGGCAGAGTGCCACTTGCCGCGGGTGAGAGCGACATTCAGGCGGCGTGGGCAGTCGGCATGTCTTCATTTTTCGCATGGAAGAAAAATCCTGGGGAGGCTCGTCCAAGGGGGGTTGTACGGTAGGGTTGTCCGGATCCCCGCTGGGTTGTCCAAGGGGTTGTCCAGGGTAGGTCATCCTGTCGTCGTTGATCAGCATGGGTTGTCCAGGGGGTTGTTGGATTGGATCGCTTCTCCATTGAACCTAGTGGGATGACGGCCGCATTGAAGCGAACGCAGGCAATGCGGACCAGGCCGGCCTCGCCTCCCTTCATCTGGTCAATCTTGCATTTGCGTACGCTCAGCCACGGACCGGCGGTACCCTCGAAAAGAGGGGGCCGTGCCGCGGGGAGGGGCACGGCGGCTGCACGGGGGAGGCACGGCGGAGCCAGCAGGCACTGGCCAGCCCGAGCTGAGCATGTCGACCCGCGGGCTGTACGGGGATAATCACAGCCGCGCGGATGTTCGTCCCCTCGGTCGAGGAGCGGCACGAGACACTCCAAGAAGCGGAGGAGCTCCGCTGATTCGCTGAGGTTGCAGTGGCTCCCGCTTCTGGTATGCTCGAGAGCTCAAACATGGGCTATAAGGAAGCGGGACACACACACCACACACACACACACACACACACACACACACACACACACACACACACACACACGCGCGCGCGCGCGCGCGCGTTTGCGATGGAAGCGCACGTAACTACCCCGCCCGTGCGGTGCGGGTACATGCATGTACACAGTCAATAGGCACAAGCTTTCAGCTCATTTAACCGCTTCGCTCATTCCGCCGGCCCGTATTGTGCCATCGCAGGCGTTTGTTTGCGCGTTCGTGGGGCCTCTTGGGGGCTTCTTGGGGGTCTCTTGGGGGCCTGTTGGAGCCTCTTGGGGCGCTCTTGGGGCCTCCTGGGCCCTTCTCGGGGCGGAAAGCTCGAACTGTCGGTTCGTGGTTTCCCTCGTGGGCCCCACTTGGGACTGTCGTGGGGCGTTCTTGGGTTCTCTTGGGTGCCTCTTGGGCTCTCTTGGGTGCCTCTTGGGCCGTCTTGGGGCCCTTTGGGGGCCCTCTTAGGGGCCTCTTGGGCGGTCTTGAGGCGGTCTTGGAGGCCTCTGGAGCTCTCTTCGAATGTCGGCAAGCCGAAAGGGCGAGACGGCCAAAAAAAAATGTTTGAAAACTATACAAGCACAGTGATTGTTGTCTCCCAGGGCCCTCTTGGGAGGCCTCTTGGAAGCCTCTTGGGCCGTCTTGGAGGCCTCTTGTGCCGTCGTGGGGCCATCTTGGGCGGCTTGTCTCGGGCCCCTCGTGGGCCGCACTTGATCTCGTCGTGGGGCGTTCGTGCGCCTTTTTGTGTGCCTCTGGGGCCGTCTTGGGGCCCTCTTGGGCCGTCTTGAGCCGTCTTGGGGCGGTCTTGGAGGCTTCTTGGGCCCTCGTGGAGCGTCGGAAAGTTGAAAGGCGAGAAGGCTGAAAACTTCCAAAACCCAAAGAATAATTGTTTTGAAAACTATACAAGCACAGTGTTAGTTGTCTCCCAGGGCCCTCTTGGGAGGCCCCTTGGAAGCCTCTTGGGCCGTCTTGGCGGCCTCTTGGGCCGTCTTGAAGTCATCTTGGGCGGCTTGGGGCGATTTGGGAGCGTCTCCCGCCCCTCTTGAGGGGCCGTCTTGGGTCGTTCTTGGGCCCGTGTGGCCGCCTCTGGGCCATCTTGGGAGCCTCTTGGGCTGTGTTGGGGCGGTCTTGGAGGCCTCTTCGGCCCTCTTGAAGCGTCAGAAAGCCGAAAAGGCGAGATGGCTGAAAATCTCCAACATGCAAGGAAAATCAAGGATGTTTGCCTCTTGGGACGCCTCTTGGAAACCTCGAGGGGCGCGTTGGGGGCATCGAGGGCCATGGTGAGGCCATCTTGGGCCGCCTTGAGACGCTGCTGGCTTCTGGCCGCAGGGCCTGCCACCCGCTTGTCGGCTCATTGGGCCGCTCCTGGACGGTTCCAGAGGCTCCCAGGCCCGCGCACAATAGATCCGGCATCTCTGACATGGACTTGCCAGGAGTTGCCCGGGGTACTTTTCGCTTCCGGACCCCCAGGAGCCGCCACGCGCGCGCGCGAACTAACTAGAATATTGTTAATTTGTTACCGGAGATCTTAGCAGGCCTCTGGCCCGTTGGGTTGGCGACCTCAGAAAATGACATGCTCCGAGTGGGCATCTAAACACACACACACACACACAATCCCAAACAACTCAGTAGAAGAAAGCCCCAGACCATGCAGAACCAGCACGGAAGCACATCGCGAATGAGCGTATCCGCGCTTGAAGCGGTCCGAAAAGGAGATGAAGAGGCACAAAAACAGTCACGCGCTTCAGATGAGCAGGCATCCAAGCCACTGCCGAATTGAAAGAACGCAAATTGAGATCAAATCACCAACTCGAAGACAGAGACCATAATCATAAGACGTCTGCTGCACAACGTCAGGCACGCCTACTATGACACAGTCAGCCCAGGCGTTTGAAGTGAATTTTTGTAAACAAAGCAACACACAGGCGAGGCACAGGAAGGATGAGGAGGGAAGAGGAATATCGGCCACGCGCAGAAGGGGGGTTGGGGGAGGGGGGAGGCTTCTTAGAAGCACCCCTGCTTGTTCGAAGGCGCGGGCCATATCTGTAGATGTAGGGCCGGCGCCTTCTGAGAAGCAGCCTCCTTCTAAAGAGCCTTCCCCTCACGCCCTACCCCCTTGTGCTCGCCGCCATGAAGAGGAAGAGGAGGCCCCTGACATCTTCAGCCATGGAAATTCCAGGCCGCCAGTTCTCCGAAGTTTTCTGCGCCTCCGGAGGCCAGGTTCGGGCCCCGGGGCCCGTCCACAACGTCCAGGACAAGAAAGCGGTCCCCGGCGAGGCCGATGACGCCGACGACGCCGACGACGCTGACGAGGCCGACGAGGCCGACGAGGCCGACGATGACGACGACGACGACGACGACGACGACGACGACGACGACGACGACGACGACGCGGGGCCCATCGTCACGACCAGACCGTGGTGTCGGGTGTCTGGGGCGTGGGGCGGTTTTCGAAGATTCTCACTGGGGTCCGCAAGTTCCTTGGGTCTCGAGAGGCTCACATTGTCGGGGAGACGAGGAGTACCGTCAACGCGCCCCGTAAGGACACGCGCCTTCATCTAGGGTACCACCGTGTCCTTGCCTCTGCGGCCCGTCCGTTGCCCTTTTCACTCGTCCTTGCCCATCCCCCCCTGCTCCTCCTCCTCCTCCTCCTCCTCCTCCTCCTCCTCCTCCTCCTCCTCCTCCTCGTACTCCTCGTACTCCTCCTCCTCCTCCTCATCATCATCATCATTCTCCTCCTCCTCATCATCATCTAACCCCTCCTCCACCCGTTCGGACAGCACGTGACCAACCTCGCCAACGGATCCAAGGGGGGGGGCGATGATTGCCCCATCCAGAGTACACGTTTTGATTGCACAGACCGAGGATCGGAGCGCAGCACACCACCAAGCATGCAGAGAGCGAGGCGGGAGGAGTGGAGGGGAGAAAGGATGAGGGAGAGGGCGGCGCACGAGCATATGCCCTGCACATCCTTCTCTTCCCGCACCCCCTCCCGCCAGGGAGTCGAGGCGGGCGCCGCGCTTGCCGCCTACACGTAAGAGTGGCCTTTGGCTGGAGTGGCTTGTGGAGGTGCCTCCGGAGGATCGATGCTCCAGGATGGAAGCTCGAGGAGGTTTTTGGACGTGTGGTTCGTTCCTGGGGGCTCTTGGGCGCTCTGCAGGCCCCGCCTCCTCGCGGACCCACGGCGCTTCCTCCTCGAGGAAGGGGCGGTCCCCCGAGTGGTGCCCGCTGCCAGTGTTGCTTGGAGTGCCCCAGTGGGGTCCCCCTGGTCGCCGAACGCGAAGCGGTAGCAGCGCCTTGCGCGCCCAGATTTGGCCACCCCGCGCCTCCCGCAAAGCCGCGCACCAGGGGTCGCTCCTGCCCAGGGCCACTCTTGCGTGCAGCCGAGTTGGGCCCAGCAGGAGCCAACCCGTGAGGAGGAGCTCTCCTTCAACTCCGTGGTGGACGTGGTTCCCGGCTCCTACAGGCTCACCCTGGAGGGCGCCTCGCGCAGGATCGGAGACACGCCCCAGACCACGGTGCTTAACACCCAGGGGAACAGCGACTACGTCGTCCTGCGGGTGGGCACTGGCTCGGAGAGCTGGCCGGAGGAGCTCATCGTCTTCCCGCACAGCGGTGGCGCGCGCGCCACCGTGTGCGCCGCGGTCGTCGCGCTCCTGGGCTTGCTGTCCGCGATGTGAGGGCCGACCCGCGATCGGGCAGACTAGTCCGGGCGCAGGAGGAGGAGGAGGAAGGGAAGGGAAGGCTGTGAAGTTTGGCCCGAGTGCGACGTGCGACGACAATGATAACGACGATCGAGGCTGGCACCACCTGCCAGTACCGGGCTCCAAGGCGTTCTCGACTCCATCTCTCCACGAGCTTCGCCCCTGTGGCCTGTTCTCTCGCCAGCCCCCGGGGCTCGAGGCCAGCCTTGGGTGGCTGAGGCTCCAGGCTGCTGGCGTGTTCAGGACGCCAGGGGTCTGGCGTCGTTCCCTCCCCCTCCTCGCCTGTCTCATTCCCCTCTCCTCATCTCTGAGTCGCTCCCCTCCTCCCCGGTTTCGTTCCCCCTCCTCCCCTGTTTCGTTTCCCTTCCTCCCCTGTGTCGTTCGCCCCTCTCTCTCTCTCTTTCGCCCTTCGTTCCCCTCATCTTCGGGGCCAGCACGGCGCCCTTGGCCGCCCCAGGGGTGCCGAGGATGGCGAGGCCCATGTCGCGTGCATGTGTCGGTTGCACTCAGAGCCGTTGAGTTCCGCCCTTCAGGGCCCATAGAGGCACGCGCACGGCCGTGCCCGATGCCTCCTTCCCTTGCCCTATCCACCCCCTCCTGGCTTTTGAGGGTCGTGGGACGGACGTGCTTCTCATGCTCACCACCCCTGTGATGCAGCGATCCATCCAGCGGTCGGGAACTTTGGGATGGCGTGTCGCCGAGCCGGTTCTGGCCCACCACGCTTCGGCGCGACACGCTATCCACTTCCCAGTCCCCGAGCGTCAACGCCCCGAGCTTTACCAAGCCTCCCGCCGAGCCGAGCGACACGCTATCCACTCACGTGGCATAGCGCGTCGCCGAGGCCACCGCGGCGACACGCTGTCCAAAACTTCCCGATCGTACCCCCCCCTCTTGAGCGTTTGCGGGTTGTGGGGCGGACGTGCTCATCATGCCCCCCGCCGTTTTATATTGCAGTTGTCCATGTAGCCCCCCAGCATGTGCTTCGGGTTCTAGGCTCTAGGCGCGGCTGGGCGCTGGCTGCACTCCCCTCCTCCCTTCCT